TATATATATATTAATGAAGACAGCTTTTATGTTTAAGTTTCTGTGAATCATGTGAAACCTGGAAAATTTATTATATGCGGCAGCAATGATGTTTTAAAACAGAATTAAATCTGCCAGAAAAGACAAAACAAGGACTACAACTTGTTTTCCAGTTTTCATGGTCGTCCACACAGGGATTGCAAATTATGTTGTTTCCAAAGACATGTGGCCAAAATTGAAGTCATGCAGAACTCATTTGTAAGAGGACGCAGCCTTTTACCATAAACTGTGGTTAGACAAACCAAAATTTTTATTTATTTGCTTGTGAAGGCATGCAAACACACAGTAGCAACTTCTTTTGGTCATTCACAACTCATCTTTATAAAAAAAGCCTCTAAAAAATCATTAGACTGTTGATTTCAATAAGCATGACTTAAAATAGTAATGTCATGACATAACAGCCACATTTCCCACTGTAGATTGTTTGAATTAAATCCTAATCTAATCTAACGTCACTTTATACATAATTACATCTTTTCTATCACAGCAAGAGTGAATAAACTGATTTTAATTCATAAAAAAGGCATTCTTTGTAAATGAATACATGAACTTTAGTCTTTCTATAATGTTTAGTATTCTGCAGCTTTGTCACCAGGCACGTTATGTGGATAAGGGGCAAAAAAGGAGAGGCCACCTTACCACTACCTCAAACATGGGGGTCAATAACCAAACAAAGAACCCTGGAGGCCCAAGCTGAACATTAAACAACAAACATAAGAAACAGCTGTGTGCCCTATGTGCATAGGGGAACATGCAAAGGAGTAGAGGGACCACGGCTCTCAGCAAGAGGTAGGGAAACCAAAAGCTCAGCATACATTTATCAGCCCCCACTGAAAAGAAAGCACAGGGTCCAAAAGTCCCTGATGTACAAGAAGCCGCCCCAACCCCAACAAGGAGCCACCATGCACTGGAAAGGTCAAACCAGCTTCCAAACCATCTTCGCTTTATTGAAAACAAAACAATGATTTTCATTTTCACCAACCAAAACCAATAAGCTCCCCACAGAAAAGTTGCACAACTTCAGGATTGATTTCTGTTTCTAATGTACATACAGGAGTATGATTTATTAATAACAGATTCTCTATTGACAGATGAATTAAAGCGAGTCGTGAACAGCTCATATCCTGTTTGCATACTTATTTGTGAATTCTCCTCAAACCATTGAAAACTTATGTACATATGACATCTGAAGTCACGCATCGTTAGGAGCATGGAAATGACCACTTACGGACTGTCATTCCAAGAAATACATAACCTGTCAAATGCAAACGCTATTCCCGGGAGTTCACATCATGATGCTAAATACATGCAGTTTGAGAACGTGTTTTTTTTTTTTTTTTTTTTTTTGGATGTTCTTCTGGGAAATTTTCTACACGTCATAGGTTCTGTCCCAGCCTCAGACTTTCATCTGGATGGTGATTATTATGACCCCCGCATGCGAAGCGTAATTGGGAGTCATATTGTTTTCCTACTGTTTATTATGACCCCCCGCACGTGGTGGTCCAGCAGTCCAATTCACACGTTGGTCCTAACCCAACCCCCCCCCACCCAAAATCAGCTTCCGAAGTTGTGGGGACCGGGCTTTGGTCCCCACAAGGAGCATCCTGTCCCCACAAGGCTGCATTTTCCTGAGAAATTGTCCCCACCAAGTAGCACGAACAAGGCCACATACACACACACACACACACACACACACACACACACACACACACACATGCAAACAATGGTCAGATATGTTATTACTTTGTTGTTTTTAGCAGAAAAAGCATGATTTTTTTATTATCGATTTTAAGTTGTGGAAATAAATACAAAAGTTGCATGAAACAATATGGTATGGCTTTATTAAATGGAAATGGAAAATCTCTGACTTCTGGAGTGTGATGCTTTATGCTCTCAGTATTCCAAATCGGGTCATAAAGGGAGGTTGTCTTACATTTTTAACCACATGTTTCTCTGTTCTGTCAAATACAGCGGGTAAAATAAGTATTGAACACGTCACCATTTTTCTCAGTAAATATATTACTAGAGGTGTTAATGAC